TGCTCTTGCCGCTTGCTATCAAGCACAAGGTGTCGAAGATTCTTTGCTACCTTGAATATAGAACCAATGGGGAACGGGCTCATTGCTAAAGAGAGGATTATAGAGAGGTCAACCAAGGTTTCAAAGGGAGCGATTTGATGTAACAACTGAATGATGTGGGGTCGATTATAGTCCGTTGTCTTAACGAAAAGTCGTCGAAGGCGCGTTGGCGGGCAGGCTATTAGGGCTTTGAGGAGAAGGCTTGTGTTCTTGCATCTGATCACCTCTACGCTCTCCAAGTCTCTCGTTTCAAAACTGGGCAACAGGCCAATATCTACGTTCTCGAGACGAATTTCCCTCAGAATTGCCATTGCCTTTGGTTGGTCCATTAGTTCTCGGATGGGCGGCTGGTAAGTCGATTTCATCCGTAATTTTAATGAGCTCAGGTTCCGGCAGTTGTTCAAATGCCAATTGGTCCACCTGATGTCCTCATCAGTCTCCAAGGTCATACAATGAAGCGATTGTATGCTTGAATAAAGGGCGTTCTTGTGCACACTGTCCATATTCGAGGAGAAATGGAGCAAGTTCGCAAGCTCACTACTCCCTATGATTGTGGATAGGACAGTCTGAACGATGCCGGTCGGTACCTTGATCCAGGACGACATGAACATTTCCTTGAATTCCAGAGAACGTACGTGTTTCACCAGGTCCTGCCTCAGGATCAATGTTCGCATGAGCGACTCACTGCACGCGCTCAGTTGGCCGGAACTCGCAGTGAAAGAAAGATACCGATATAGATCTGGCATCACAGCTCGATAAAGTGCACGACTGCAACATGTCAGTGCACATTTTTCTCGAGGTGCTAAGTAGATGGCTACTATGGCCCAGACTTCTGGTGGCAGAAAGCTCATCTCGTTGGCGATAGAAGTGATTCGTCTGCCATTCTTCTTGCGAGACAGAACTCCCCATGGATGCGATCACTTATAATGTCCATTCGGGGACACGGTGGACAGGTTAGCCGTGAAACCGTGATCCGCATTACGAGACAATGAGTAGATAATCACGACTAGCCGAAGCTGGGGCGGTGGATATGTACAAGGTGCGAAAGAGACTCGAGGGCGTTCTATTGCAGGGTGAGTCTGCCAAAGTACGGAGTCTCTCAGTGGGCTGTGCTCTATATTTAGAGATAACGTAATGGTCTTATTGCTAGAACAACTACGCTGAACTTTTGCACCAGGCTCATACAGAAGAACCGAATACACCAGGCTTTACCCTACCTTGTGCTCGCTTCATGGTACCTATTACTCAGTGTGCACTATAATTAACCAGTATGTTCCATATCAGGTTAACGGAAGACTTAAGCCATGAGCTGATGAAAGTGACCACCACATATTGGGCGCCCATCGAAGGCAAAGTCGACCGATCGGAATGCTTTCCTATTTCGACTAGATCGCGAGCAGGAGTATTAAAAGGTCGGGGTGGTGGAATAATGGATATGAAATTTGGCTATAGTAGTCTAGGAAAAGCCTGCCGACTATTCACCCATATGACAAAATCACCTCCGTGACCACGGTATACGTTGATTCACGAGTTCCCTATACGTTCTGGAGTGACCTGGTATAGACTCAAGAAGGCCAGGAAATAGGGCAGGGCTGGCCTTAATACGTGAGGGATTTCAATATTGATATGCAAAAGTTGGTAAGATTGGCGCTAACCATTACTCCCTCCTTGATATTGGCCATGATTCCGTCAAGGCTGAGTCAAACTTAAGAGAAGAACGGCACTTGGGTAGCGCTTGGGATGCGTTCAGGCTTCGTATGGTTGGGCTTGAGATGTTGCCCCTGTAACTCATTGATTGAGCGGACAATCATGGGCTGAGAGAGAAGTCGTAACAGGACCAGTAGTACATCGTCTTTAGAGGCTTTGGGCCACATGATGGTCTCTGTTCTACGTGGTATCTTGCGGTTGCGGATTCTGCTCCTGTCTTGGATGGCAAGGTTCCAACAACGTCCGGGATGAACTCTTTGACAGTGAGGACAGGCAAAATTGCTATGGTGTCTAGTGGCCAACTGAGCAATATGCCAGCACTCACCAGAATGCCTCTTGTGACAGGTCGAACAACCAGGGGTTGGGCACTCTCCGCCTCTATGGTCTTGACTTCGGCAGTGGATGCAGACTTTCAGGCCTTCATATCTGCATTTGTAGCCATGCCAATTTCCGCAGTCAAGACAACAACGGTAGTTCACCCTAAGCTTGGGGTATTTGCCGGGGCGCGCACGTAGATGGTGGAATGCTAACATTGGGTGCAGTGCGCTGGAGTTTATTCAACATCTTTGCGGCAGGTGTGCCTTTTATTCCTATGGAGTGGTTTTTGAATTAGCCCATGGGGCGTATCAATTACACGTGGACTTTGCTGAGGGCCTCGTCATCCTTCATGTCGGAGGCGCTCAGGTTATCAACTAGTATGGGATTTCAGTTGAACAGTATTACTCATTGTTAAGCAAGCCTAAAGAAATTAGGTAATGGCTCGTTTCTATCCCGGGAGACTCTGAAGAACCAGACAGCACCGTCAACCATATATGCTGGGGCCAATTCGAGCTGACGCACATGGCTACGACTAATCCTTAATGGGTGGCTCCGAACACTTATGCAACGATACCCTCTTACCAAGCCGGTGTAGTAATTTATGTTCTGCTGGATAGATGAAATTCGGAACAGTGAGTGCAATTGTGGTGTTCTCTTCGGACCATCGTGTCTGGGTCTCTCTCCAGCCATCCCACTTTGGTCCATGTGATTCACTATATCAAGTGCAAGAGTGGAATGCCACTTGGAATGATTTCTGTCTGCGAATGGTAATGAGTGTCAGGCAAGGAGATGTTCGTGACTAAGTACAACTCACTCCTCATCGGATCTCAGAGATCTCTCATCGTTGACACATCCGTAACTGACTGTCTAAGATGCATTGTGACTGACCCGCCAAGTTCAAGCACCCGATCTACTGAATTGGGAGCTTCTGATTGAACGACCAGGTCCCGATCTCGAGTCCTCCTAACTGAAGTGTCCGGAAACCCTTAACAACCGTACCCTCCCAGTGATGAAGAATGCTTTTCGTGCACATTATCGATGACACAAACTGGGGCTGTACCGCGCAGTTCGTAATGCTTGCCTTAATGATAATCTTATTGCTTTCCTCCGTTGCCGTTCAGTGATACTACTTAGAAAAGGTTACGAGAATGGGGTATCCTGCTTCTTTCTTCCTGTATGACATCGTCGAAAACTGAAGCGTCAGTCTTTGAGATAGTGTCATAGGTGTTTACTGTTAGAGGGCAGTCGGAGTACGGGAGTCTCCACAGACGACAGCAGCATAGTGTCATGCTCCGGGAGTGAACAACACTATACGGTCTTGCCACATCCCATGAATGCTCCCCGAAACGCGCACATAAGCATATTCCTGTCTCGTAGCAGGGTCGATGCGTCCATCTGGGAGGAATGTGTGACATAGAAGCGGGCTGCGCCCAGGAGCATCGCACTTCTGTGTTCCTGGACGCAACGTCGACGCCACTCGCCAGCTGGGCAAAATCAATATGGCATCGTTGCATAAGTTCTGCACGGCTGTCAGTTAGGAAACTAAGGAAGGTAGAATGCCCTACCCTGATCCGCGTTCAGGAATTTCGCGACAGCCCTCGGTATGACGCTTCTCACATTCCTCCCGACCCAGATTTTGTATAGCCGACGATCATTCCACTGTAAGACTTTGATCCAATATATCTCGCTACGCAGTGTGTATCTCGCATGTATGGCAAAGTGATGAGAGACCCTGAGCCAGATGAGAAGATCTCCTGGACTGGAATAACCTGACACTAAGTACCAGACCTCCGCGGGCAGGGCGCTCAAGCCAGTATGAAGCATGGTGACTGTATCAACGCTTCCGAACAGTGTTTCTTTGCTCTTGCTCAAGATGACTAGAGCACGTATCGAAGGCCGTTCATATAGAAGATTCCCATATGGTAATGGAAGCCTGCGGGGACGGGTTCTGATAACGATTTGTCGAGTTGGATGCCCAGTCAATATCTGGAAAAACAAGCACAAAACCATGTGCTCAACAAGCTTGCTAAAGAGCGTTATTTGGTCACAAGGTTTCCTGGACTCGCGAAATGCCAAGACTCCCACCACTCGCAAATCTCCTCAATGTCCCGAGCATAGTAGTCCGTCTCGCTCTCCTGTTCCCATAGTGTATTCCCAATGGTGGCAAATGAGACTGCGCCCCAGTCCAGGTCGCGGTAAGCACGGCGACTGAGATAGCCGACCAATCCTGACTTCTGGATACGTATTTCAGGTTGCCAAAGCCAAGGTGCGTTAATCGTGGATGGGGTCGAGAGGATATAGACGTATTTTTCGTCCTCCCTGTAGTACACCATTGCGTTTTTCACTCTCAAGCGTGGGGAAAGGTGATAAAGTTCAATTGAATGGAAAGCCTGACAATCGGTTACCTCCACTGCTATTAAGTAGGCTGTAGAAAGCAGCGAGGAGACGCTTCCTGCATTGAGGTACGAGACTTAGGGCATTAGATGTTGAACAAACAAACGGGATTTATGTGGTATCAACAGTTTGTGCATAAGTAGTGAAGGCCAGGGTCACCGGACTACTGAGAGAGCTGTGTCCATACCACCGGGATTCCGGTAAGTATCAATAGCCACACCTATTGAAGTCCAAGGCATTGCTGAGTTAGCAAGGCGTGACTGTTCAAATAGAACTTCAACGAAATGACTCTGCGTAGACTACTTCTGTTGCTTCAATAATCGACCAATATACAGTAGTGACCACGATGAGTATCCACTTCGGTTATATTAGTTTCGCTTTCCGCACAAACCAGTCATTGTGGCGCATTGTGGCGCCTACAGTGCCAGAATTGGCTTGAAGAATGTACTTCGGCTGAAGGCGCGGGGTCACGGTGGAATGGCCCAGTCAACCCCGCTCTCTGGTGCTGCCGAATCTCAACCATCTTTTGGCTGTCCTCTGCTCGACATTCTCACTTCTATGAGAGACATTAAACTGCCAGTTGTCCGCTACAGGTTCGGCAGGACTCCAGCCTCGCCTCTTTTCCATCGACTTGTCCCTTGTTATCATGCGTCCACACCCGTAGCTTTCCGACATCTGACGAGTGGAAGTACCGCAATCAAGCGGAAGCACCGACTCCAAGCCAATCGCAAGACGCTTTTCCAGGATTCGGATGGATGAGTCTGCCTCAGCTTGTAGCCATGTCAGCGCCAATAGACAACAATAGAACAAGATTCCGCAACGACTGTATCTGATACGAGCCAGCAGTCCGACCGGTACGAACAAATATATGATACAGGGGATCTCATTCTCCTTCTTGGTCCACACCAAGCGCCATTGAAGGTGCAGTCAAGATGCCTTCGAACGGCATCGAAGGTCTTCGACGTTATGCTTGGACCGAACTGGAGCGAAGGCCAAAACCTCTGAAGACAAGCCCAAGCCGGTCGACTTGAGCGACGACGATTTCGGTGCAATGCACACTGTCTGCTGTGTGATCCATCATCGAAACGACCTATTGACGCCAACTCTCGATCCTGCAGACCTTCTCCGAGTTGCCATCGTGGTTGACAAGTACGACCTCAGCGTAGCTATGAAGTTCGCCCTCGCGCAATGGCTCAAGCTTCGAGACGACATGGACATGATACAGCTCGGGTTCATGCTGGCAGCTGCATATCGACTTCGCCATGAAGAATTATTCGAGGAAACCACGTTAGCTCTGATCATACGTTGTGATGCTTCTTATTGGTGTCTTCCTGGGCATGAAATAATCAACGAAGTCTTCAACATAAAGACACCTGGAAAAGTACTTTGTAAGTTTTATCTGATAGTCTGTAAGATGAAATACTAACGTCACAGACGTACTTGAGGAGAGACGAAACCGCATGCGAGCAGATATTTTGCGCCTTCTTGGATCATCAGGGCCAAAGTGTTCTTGTGGTTGGGGCAAGGTGCATGCACAGGGTCGTGAAAAGCGTAAGGCAAGGTATGGACCGCTTGACTTATTGAAAACGCCGTTGAGTCAGATCATCGACAGACTTGAAAGGATCCCACTCGGTAATTTGTCCAAATCTCAAAGTTGTCACATCTGGGCTAACATGCATGAGCTGGAGGGGAATGGAGACCCGGCAGGCGAGATAGACATCATGAAGAGGGCTGCAGCAGTGTCTCTGGAGCATATATAGTGGTGGACTTAAACAAGCTGATACTTCTTGCATGAAGGATGAAAGCATTAGTCTCGTTCATTCGCGTAGCAGAATGCTTACTTTTGACATTGCTCCAGACCGTGACCGGTATTTTGCACATCACTACTACATACTAGCACGATTTCCAAAGACCCAGACGCCTAGCCTACCAGGATACATGAAGACTCAATCATGATAGACGATTTGAGATTGTGTGACGCTTTGAGATAGTGCGCACCAATATACACACAGTTAAAAGAAACAAGCGGATCCATATGACCCGTGCGCGAATCGTCTTAATTGAGTTATGTGTGGACACTGACTGTGGTCACTACTGTACTCTATACCATTTCAACAAGACCTGCAGAATGTTGAGGTGCGACGGGGGCGAGATTTGTAGTATTGCAACAGTTACGATATGTCTTATGAGGAGGGATTCGCCGACGCAAGTCATACTGATTCCATCCTAACGTTGCGGGTGAACTCTCGTGGGAAGACGAGACCTTTCGCATAAAATACGTCGTCGGATCCCTGAGCGGATGACGTGTTCAGTACTCTGACAAGACAGCCCATTTTCATTGCGAATTAGTTCAACATATAAAGACTGGTTCAAGGCCTCACATTGCATTTGTTAAGGATGCCGTGCGGGCATAGCAGATGGTTAAGCTTCGTCCGGCACAATGGTAGATCTGCGCTTGAGGCCACGGATTGTCCACAGAGGTTGCTGCATAATCTGCCCGACCCAGACTTGCAGCGGCCTGTTGTGATTGCGACAATTGGAAATCGTCTCAAAGTTGAGTTTCTGCGCAGCCTTGGCGTTAACGTTGATCCAAGGAGAAAAGGGGAAAGTCGCAGCGTTATAAACCTATCCATGTGGCCGAAAACAATCAAGGACGACAGTCCCGCAATCTTTATGGACACAGACATCCCTCGAGACGGGTGGAATAGCACCAGGTCATTGAAGCCTGCCGGATGCCACGAGTCAGTCTTCCACAATTGTGACCATCTAGCCAGAGAGAGGCCAGAGGCCATTGCCGATGTACTGGCTCGCAAGGCTCTCTTTCCTTTTTCGGATGTCCTTTGCGTTTTTGCCCCCGATATTGGCGGAGTCGTCAGTGTCGGCAAGCAAATAGCTTCTTGGATTCGAGACAGCCCCTCTACGCCTTTCATGCCACGTCCCTGGCTGATTGTGGTCGTGGAGCGAGCTTTAGATGGAGAAGCGCTGGATACTATCATTGGAACCATTAGGACCAGTGTCGGCGAAAACGTCTCTGCTCACTTTGCATGTATCCGCGTGGTGAGAGTGGACTCTAAGCCAGCTCATAGACATCGCCAGTGGCCTTCACTGGCCCAGGAGTTCTCATGCCTCTTTCCAATCTTAGGAGAAGAACGGCAGAGATATGGCTGCCTGTTCACAGCAAGGCACCTCGCTGGCTTTCTACACGATACGGCGGGCGCTTTGACACTTAACTTAGCAGAGAGACCTAACTTAATAAGTGTCTCCAGAGCAAAGTTCCCCCTGCCGAAGATCATCATGAGCACTTGAGCCGCTTCATAGCGAGTTCAGCGGTATCAACTTGTGAGGAAGCTAAAGAGTTCTTGCTACCTACAATTGCATCAAGCCTAATCCTCGATCATTATGTTCCTCAGATGCACAGTAAGTATTGCTCGTCACGCAGTCGGTTCCTCCACTAACGAATATTAGATTTTGAACCGGATGATGTATTTGAAACTCTGTACCTTGAGAAGTGGAAAAGCGCTTTACAGCGAGCCAATCTATCGGTAATACCACCAGGTGGTGACAACCCTGACCTCATTTGCGCGCTTCGGGCCGCTTTTAGAGACGCATTTCGAGAATATCTTGTTCTAGGATCATCGGAGGAGCTACATCTCAACAAGCTATCCGCTCATAAAAGCAGGTGGGAAGTCGTTCATTCCAATGAGACATGTCTATGTTGTCTCAGGCGCCAGCCAAAGTATTGGTTCTCCTGCGGGCACTCGTTATGTGAATGCTGCGTTGAAGTATTTTCAAAAAGGGCCGTTTTCGATCCTTTGCTATGCGAACTTGAGGGCTGTCTGTTATGTGGACGAGTGCTACCCGCGACCCGTATCAAGCTGTGGCCTCGAACAGCTGGGGTTCGCGTTTTGAGCATTGATGGCGGGGGTATTCGTGGCCGGATCCCCTTGGAGTTTCTACGCGTTCTACAAGACCATGTAGCGCTTCCACTTCCGATCCAAAGTCATTTCGATCTAGTCTTTGGAACAAGCTCCGGTACGTGACACTTCACGACTCTTACTGAGCATGAACTGACATAAATAGGTGCCATTATTGCATGTGCATTATGCATAAACGGCTGGGACATCAAAGTCTGTACGGCTACCTTCGAGAGCTTTGCAGCTGAGGCCTTCAAAGCTCGCTTTCCGTATAGAGTACCATTACTGACGAAGATCTACGATTTGTGCCTGCTGATGATTGCGGACTGTCGCTACTCCGCAACAAATCTGGAACAGTCTTTGCAGGCCGTCTTCGGACCGACGAGAAGCATGCTTGAATATTCTAGAGCCTCTGAAATGGGCATCTTGGTGGGGGTTCCTGTCACGACAACTTCCGACGTGAGTTGCAACATATTCAGTAACTATAACGGTAGTGGTCGTCGGGAGAAGACAGGTAAGCACGGACGCTGTACATTGGTTGCATACTTGCTAATCTTTGCAGACTACACTATGGTCAGGCATTCGTCCTCAAGAACCCCCGTCCCGCTATGGGAGATGTAAGCTTTTGCTCCTGATTGAAATGATGAGGGCGTCATGTAAGCTAATCGAAACAACTTATAGTCTGAGATGTTCGACGGCAGCACCGTAGTAAGTCCTAGATGGTTCTCGAGATTGGTCACTGCTAATGGAATATAGCTACTTCCCTGCCAGGCATGTCGACGGCCTGGAAAGATACCAAGATGGGGGCCTGATGTATAACAATCCTGCCTCCGTGGCGATCAGAGAGGTGGCTGCAATGTTTCCAACTGCTAGGAAACCGAGCACGCTGGTGTCGTTAGGCACGGGATCTAGTCACACGCCTGGAGATCATGCAATACAACCCAAAAGGTTCTGGAATGACTGGTTTGTCCTTCGTGGTTTTAGAGCCTTAATGCAATCTGGAAGCTCAGAGAGAGCGTGGCAGCAGCTGGAGAGTCATTGGAACATATGCAGGTCGGGTAAGATGTTTCGATTTGATGTCGACTTTCAGCAAACAGAGCCACCTCTGGACGACGTGGATAGTATGAAAGAAATCGCCGTCATGGCAAATCAGACAATTCTACGGGCACCACATCTGAAAGAAGCCGCTTGTTCCATTCGTGCCGAGCTCTTTCTCTTTGAACTCGACGAATGCACTCCTTTCTTAGTAGAGGGCGGTTTGTACAAATGCCAAGGGAAAATCATATGCCGACTTGATCCTAGAGTTAGGGCAAGCCATGAGCTTCTTCGGCAGCTTTACAGAAGCAATGCGAAGTTATCAGTCAACGGGGTAGAGTTCGAGCTTTCTTTCGTAACTCCTTGGAGTCACAAACTGAAAAGATCGAATATTCTACCGCGCCCAAAGCTGACAAAGTCCGATTTGACTGATGGACGCACATTCATGCGTGTGGAATTTACTTTATCTAGTCGTTTGGATAAAGTACAAATGGTCCTTCAAGAACAGTCTCATGACAGCCATATAAGTGGCTCCCCCTTCACATTGCAACGACTTCTAGATCAGCAAAATTTAGAACATTGGTTCGGTAATCATAATCACCGTAAGCGAGCTTGGCCAGAACCAGAAGTGCGAGAACGAAGGACAAAAAAACCCAGAGCCTGTACGTCGTAGTAACTACTTAGAGCCATGGCAGGACAAGCTGCTGGTCCGAGGATTAATCGCCAGCGTGTAATACATCCGCTCAGCATTCATATAGCATGAAGTACACAATAACGTAGGGTTTTGTGATTAATAGATTAGGCTCTGTCCTATGTCATTAGAACACACCCTAGTGCCGCGTAAGGTTTTGGACCTTTCAAGTGGGACTGACACCGAAAGAGATTCTGAAGGTCATCTGGACTCGCGATTTCCCCGAGAAGAAGTCACTACGCTCCTTAGATTCACCAAAGCCCATGATGGCCGCCACGCCGTCAACGAGCAAGGCTTCGTGGTAGCCTGCAGCGCGCTGTTCGTCAATTTGTGACCGATTGCCTGCTTCGATCCCAAAATAAGCCTAGTTGCTACGATTGGGCGAGTACTCCCGCCGCCATTTCGTGTCGAGCTTACCAGTCTCCCTACAAGCACTTGCCTTGTTCTTTTTGGAGGCATGTAGGGCCTACGCGGTAAGCTCTTCCACTGCACTCACTATGTTCAGTTGAGTAGCTCGGGGGAGTGTGTGGGATAACTAATCCTTCGCTGCTGGCCTTTGGCTGGGGCGTTCTGGCCGCCGGCCATGCCGAAGCACATGAGACGCTGCCATCCGCCACAGGACCGATCCCCACGAACACCACGCGCAGCCTTGAGCTGATGGGCGGGCAAGCATCCAAGGAAGCGTAGTTGCACCAGATTAGTAAAGCAGTAGCTCAATGTATCCTAACTCCTGCTCGTTCCCTCATAATGGGGGGCCTACAAAGGCCGTCTGGTCCATAACCGCGGAAGCACCGCGCACCAACAAACTTGGGCAAGGCAAAAACGTACTTTTCACGAAAGTCACCATTGACCTTAAGTCTCTGCATTAGTCTCGCACGCTGCTGTCGTGAGCTTCGCTCGTTCCATGGGAACACGCCATTTGGCGTACAGAGCACTGCCACCTTCTCGCTTGTCCAGAGTCAACGTCATTTCACCGATACTGCTTCATGGACCAACCAATCATCCGTGTGACTGAATTTGCTGTTATGACCAGATCTGGGAACTCGTTGGTAAATTTACCCAAAGATCGCCACAACAACGGCCTTGGTCTCTCCACTGCTTCTTGCGGCATGACTGCGAAGATATCGTGTTTGCAACCTTGTCGACACTGACCTGGAGTGACGCGACCTCGATGGCAACGTAAAGCACGACACTTTCCCTGAGCGTTCCCTGAGCATAGCCCACGGCGCCCGCGGTTTCCACGTTTATCTACCGCGTGCTTCAGCTCCGGAATTGCCCTTGAAATATTTCTCATCAGGTCTGAGACTTCCGCTATTGGAGGAGATTATATGTATATGGAGGTCCCGTTCTCTACTACCAAACGTTCTCCATGATTCAGGCTCACGTGCCCCGCAGCTCTCTTTCTGTTGAGCAAATCGAGTAGTTCGATTGTTATACCAAGAGGATCCCACGTGTCCCCATCTGACCACCAGTCTTGGACATCCGCAGGGAAGTATTAGGACTGCGGAGCTCCTCTGCATGTGTCAGAGCGCTTCAAGAGCGAACCAAGCACCAGATTCCTTGTCGCAACACCATGAATAGCACCGACTGGAAAGCAGTAAGCGCGGGAAAGCTAAGTGTCTGGCAAGAATTAATTATAGAACATGGCTATCATTATTAGTTTAGTGTTAAAATAACAAGTTATGGCACACTCGGGGCTTCCCACCGGCCGACCCACCTAGCCATCTTTGTGTATATACTGTGCACTCCCCACCGATCGACAATGAGAAGGACCCAGGTAAATCCAAATTCACAACCAGGCGAAAGCACTTCCTAGCGGAAATGGACCCACGTTTCATCTCAGTCATTGTGGGCTTTTTTCTGGCTGGCCTATTACACTGTGCCGAGATACTGCTACATCCAAACAGGTCTCCTCTCTTGACACTACTAGGACCTCTCCTTGTTGTCCCGCATCTAGCATTCGTGATACTCCTACTCCTTGGAAATGACGCATACTACCCGGCCGCCAAGCTCCTGTGCATAGGACACCTGTCGGCTCTCCAGGTACGTTCCAACACCTATGCAGCGGCCACGAACCTTTCCTAACTTAACAGCCAGTATATCCTGACCATCTGTCCGATGCTGAGGCTGTATTCAGCGCTCTGGCATCAACAATGGGCAATGTTCTGGCCAGTTGTCCCAGCGATTCTTGCCGCCATGCAGCTCTATCTCGCCATGTTCGGCATGATATCGGGATCGGCCGTTATCATCAGCTGCATCCCTCTAATCACGGGTGCGGCTTCCCTTAGTCTGCCAGGATACGGAATGTTTCATTTTATATCCCATCACTTCAATAAAGGCGGCCCCATCCGCCAAACCTCCATCGCATCTGTGTGGCGAATCGGCGCTTGGATGGTACTGATATGTTCTGGCTTCTTTCTCTCCATCACACTCGTCATACTAGGCGCAGTCTCGGTGGTCGACGATTACGTCGTCTTCAGTGGCCTTACTGCGGTTAATTCTGTATTGATATGTGGCGATCTATATCGTTCATTAAACAAGGTGGAAAATCCCGAAACAATGTCTGAGGACACTGACTATCTAATCCATGTTTCTGATACTGCTGACAACAGAAGAAAGGCGGATGTGGGTCCGGCTGTGTAGTAGTACAAAGAGTCAGTAGGCTGCAGTGCTACAGCTGTCAGTCATTAGGATTACCCATCGTGGTCTCCTTGAGAACACGACATTGGTCACCAAATGTATGGACTTTGGGTGTTACTAAAGGGTTTATTAAATGCTTCCTATAACTTCTTGGGGTCTGAAACTTAAATTTGTAAGGGAATCGCCTCAGCGATCCCGTGAAGAACCCTAAAGGCGCAAACTGAACAACCCGGCGATCAGTGTAATATATGCCGTTGGGGGATTCGAAGAAGATAAAGTACGCCGTGTATAAGTTGAACTCCGGGGTGACCATGAGTACTGTTATTACAGGATCGATCGCTGTTGATTTACAAATACGAGCTGTGACAGTAGAGAGGAAACGCGTCGCAATGTTCGACTTGCATATTCCAGTTCAGCTTGGGTTCTGGCCAGAGCCTCCTGTACGAGCTGCAGGGAGGCGAGAGCTTGCATAGCTTCCTCTTCAAGGTCAAGGACGGCTTTCGTCTGCATTGTCGCTCGTTGCAAGGCCATAGTGTTCGTGGGGTCCTCGTCGCAGGCTGGTTTATTCTCACGCTGCTGCTTTGTCGCTAAAGACTGGCGTGTATTGCTGAGCCCAGGATTTCATCCTAGCTTTTCGGGGAAGGGGCGATAGAATGTATTATGCTTCCTGGTCGTGGGGTATACCTGAGCCTTCATTTTATACACGAGCTCAGGCGGAACCACCTAATCTCAGGTGTTATTTTGCACAACCAGTAGTAGTGCTAACAACTCGTCAAACGTGGCTTGGTTAAAAGGTCGACGGCATGGTCCCTTAAGCGGGAAACAGTAGGATAACACATGGTTAGAACCATAACAAATCTGTTTATATTGAACCATTGAATAAACGGGGGACAGATGTGCTTACCATGGTATGTCCATGGCGCGGAGCTAAAAAGATGTCTCTATTCGTCCTGCTAACAAGTGCAAAGAGCGACAAGCTTGGTGGGGTCGCCATGGTATCACGAACCTCAGCGGGCGCTGATGACATCAGAAATCTAATGCGTTTTTCAGTTGAGGTTATATTAGAGTGTGCGTCGTTGATCGTGGACAGATAATGGGGGTGTCTCACGCTACTTGGTCCGTCAGCAGGAAGTGCATGCCGTCCTGTTGTGTGTAGATTATCCATCCGGGTGATACTCTTGTTGAAGATACCATTAGCCAACTACACCCATAGGTGGGTAGGGTGGTCTTTCTTTCGAAGAGGCCTCCTGTAAGAACAGTGCACCATAGGGTAAATCAGCTAGTGGTCGGAGGTCCAATTGAGGTCGCATTACTGCAAAACTAATTCTTGGAGATCTAAGTGCTCTGTCATGAAGTGCACACGTTTCGACCACAATATGGTGTCGTGCCAGAAAGCCCAGTGTAGCTCTCCCGTGTCCACCTGTCTGCACTCTCATACCTCGGTACTGGTTGCACAGTTGTGCACATTGTGCATCCTCACCTTATCGGCACCAAGTCGATCCCCGGCTACGCCAGCACCTTGTCCACAGTCCCCGCGGCCTTACACCTCCTTATGTCATGTGGACTATATATAAATAATTAGTTGGTTGTGAGACTTGCGTATTCCGACGGGAGACATCACGTAAGGACAAGAAAACAAAGAACAACTAGCGTTGAAGACTTCTGGCGATGAGAACCCAAAGACTTAGCAAGGTAGATCAGGGACTCGTGTCCCCGAACTCTACATAAAGTGGCCTCTTAGCTGTTTAGGACTCGATCAAATAGGTTCGACGAAAGAATGGATTACATGCCCCTCAGGGTTCAATGCCCGTTTGGGACCATGACTTACATATACGACATTTTATGTAGTTACTCGAGAGGAGACACAGTATATCACGGCATTGTTTGCAGGAACCTCAATAGCTACTACTTGTCATGGCTGAAAGAAGGAGACGAATCATCCACACCGCTACGTAGCAACGGCGCTTCTTCTCCAGCAGAGCGTGGAATCGAAAAAATTATAACTGTATACGATGATTTCCGCACGGGGTCCACACTAGCTGCTGTTAAATGGAGAAATATCGAAGAACCGACATGGGAGGATGTCAAGACTCTAGTCGAGGGAAGAAGCCAAATGGAGAATGATCAGATACTTGCCTACTACAAGGAGGTAGATCTACGAGAGAGGGAATACCTCGGCGATACCCTCTATCAAGA